GCTTGCACTCCATACATAGCAGACGAGTTGCTGTTGAAGAGTTTATCCACCAAGAAACCTTAGTCACCAGAGTGTACCATAGATAATGTTTGGTTAGAACTTATGAGATTGACTTGCTTTGCAAAAAGGCTTGAGAAGGCTTTTTGCATGGAGAAATATTTGCGTACGTCGGTAGTTACAGGAAGGGTATTGGAGGGTTATATCCGCGTTATACCCCTGTAACCTACTTGTAACCTACAAATATATGAGAACAACGTTATACCCCTGTAACCTTCTTGTAACCTACTTGTAACCTACAAATATATGAGAACAGAAACGTGGAACTTATTAGTTACAGGTAGGTTACAGGAAACTTACAGGGGGTATAACGCGGATATAACCTCCCAATACCCTCTCTGTAACCTATCGACGTACGCAGCTCTGTGTATGTTAGACGTACACAAATATTTCTCTTTTGCATGAGAAGGCCTTTTGCATGGCCTGCACAAAATCTACGTATATTTGGCTCAAATCGCTATCCTTTCACATGAGAACTTTATTTGCTTTCATGAAAACTAAAGTGCCTTTAAAAAATTAAGTACATCTTGATCATAAAACTTGTACTTTGCATCACTTAAAATAGTCAAGAATATCAAATTCTTCTTGAAGTTAATTACTTATCAAACTGTAGTCAATGTCTTAATCACATAATTACGCATCCTTTAAAATGATTTCAAATCGAATTGTGTTCCATTCATCTTTGTTTTCTAATTTGACAATCCGCATGGCTTTTTTATGTGAAAATAACCCTTACTTAGGAAATGCTTAATATGTAGAACTCAAGTCACGAATCAAATGTCTGGTTACACTACTTCAAAAAAAAAAAAAAAAAAAATCAAAATCAAAACCAACAGACTTACTTTTGTTGTTGTTTGTCGATTAGACAACCTCTACTTGGCTTTCAAGCTAAAAGTATTATTTTTTTGGCCATACATGCTATAAATGTCGAATTAACAATCTAATGGTCATTGCATCCATGTCCTGTGGCATTGAATGAACATTATCAGAATTTTTGTCTAAAGTTGCATTGGCCTTCCTTTCTTACGATTATCTTCTACCCCTATAAATAAGACATGTTCTTTTGATGTATCCTATCTTCGTATAGTAATACGTCTCAGTGCATTTTCATATCTAGTGTCTTAATCAGTTTGTGAATCAGGGTCAAGTGTCAAGTTTCATTATTTATTCGAAAATTAGGTGGATGAACGCTCAACTAAGGTGTGTTCTTAAAATCTAGGAAGCCTACACTGAAAAAATATGTGGATGAACTCTCACCTAGGGTGTTCTCCTAAAATCTAGGAAACCTACATTGAAAAATTAGATAGATGAACTCTCATCTATGGTGTGCTCTTAAAATCTAGGAAGTCTACAATGAAAATTAGGTATGTAGGCTCTCACCTATGGAGTGTCTACAGTGAAAATTAGGTATGTAGGCTCTCACCTATGGAGTGCTTCTAAAATATAGGCTTTGCGTTCCTAAAATCTAGGAAGCCTACAGTGAAAATTAGGTAGATAAACTCTCACCTATGGAGTGCTCCTAAAATCTAGGAAGCCGACACTTTTACTTGTGCTTAACGTGATTTAAGGTGTTTTATCCTTACTTAAGTGCTTTCCAACTAATCCTCAAATTTCTAAGTGTCTTCCAAATAGTTAAATTAGAAACTCTCACTTTTCGACTTAACCATATAACAAAAATAACAAAACAAACAAAAAGAGAAGGTTGACCCACTTCCAAAACTAACAAATCCAATGGGGAAATAGCAAGTGAATCAATCTAAAAGCGTTTAAAATCTTTTAACAACTGTAATTAAATAGACTCTCGAGAAGAGTGCTTAAGTTTGTTCCAAGACTGTTTTGATCGGCCCAAAAGTCTTCCAATTCAGTAAGAAAAATAGAGAGGTCCAAAAGACACCAAATAGACTAAAAAAAGTTAGGACCAAAAGCTATGAGACGGAATCAAGAAGCACAACCCCTAAGCTACTAGACGAAACCATGAAGTGTAGCTCGTAAGCCGCCAAAAGGGCCCAAAAGTGCAGCAAAACCAGCCCCTAAACAGTCCCAAAACCGTGCATTAAAGGCTTCAAAAACAGTATCTAAGGGTTCCAAAACAACTCTCAACTACTCCAAACAGTCATTTCACACTTCCAAACAACTACCTACAACAACTTCTAAGCTCCGACACACTTATATGAACCCAAACAACATCTATATCTGAACATCAACTACATGGGCCCAAACAACAACTACAACATCCAAATAGCAACTACAACATCCAAACAACTACCTACAACAGTTTCTAGGCTTCGACAACACTTTTTAGGACCCGACAGCACTTCTACAGCTCTCCCAAACCAAACAGCAGCTTTCTACAGTTCCCCTACAGCTTCCCACAGTACTTACAATAGCTAACAGCTCCACCAAACAGCCATCTACAGCTATGGACAGCACTTACAACCCTTATGCAACACATTTTAGCGCATGTGGAGCCCTAAACAACACTTAGATGGTGCACAATTGCTACCAGTGAGAGCATAAATGAATATTTGGAAGGTTCGCATTCATACCCCGCAATTCCTATCTGTTAACATATGTCAAAACTAACTTCAATTCTTACATTTATATCATCCAAATCTTTCATGCCATGTCAAAACATCATTGATAAGGCTTCTAGCGCATGTGCGCAAAGATGTATATATAGAGGGATTAAAACTTAAGGTGTTAGAAATGTAAATCCATGAGAATTATGTGGTGCGTATGTAAATCTTTCTGAAAAAAGAAATGAGCAAGCTCCAATAAAGAATATTGGAATAATAGTAGAGAAAAGACTTAGAAAAAAAATTCACATCCAATAATTCATAGTTGAAGTAAGCAAGCCCGCTATTTAAACAGCTATCAAACATCAACTTTAATTTAATGAAGAACGATTCCATTTCCTCATGCCCACACAAGACCATTATAACACTAGCATATAAGATGTTTCCTAGATAAAGGCAAATAAACATGACTAATGCAATTAAAAGAATAGTGGATAATCAAAACACAAAAGATAACTAAAAAAAATGCCACGAATGATAAGCTTACTGAAACAACCAATCGCAAAGCACTCAAATTGACATAAATTACTCTTTAGAAGCTTAGGCAAAGCATGCTTAACAAAATTCTAAGCACATGTCAGGTATATGAATCCTTATGGCTCCAAACAGTAACTCTAAAGAGGAGCTAAGATCCTTCATGAATCCAGAAATAAACCAAATAGACATTCAATCTTAAATCACATAATCCACACATCAGAGACAAACAAAAGGGAACTTATACCATTGTTTGCGATTCGATAAAAAAAAGTTTAGAGTTCACTTTCTTAAAAGCTCTTCGGCGGAGGCCGGGGGAGAATCGAGTAGGGAGGTTTGCTGTATGTGAAGGAAATTCGGTTAGGGTTGCTGGATGAACACTTCTGGTCACGCGAGAGAAGGCGCAGTAGGAGCGGGCTTCGGGCGCAGAGGGAGGTGAGCCGGACAGGAGGCAGGGAGCTTCGGCTAGAGCTGCGATCGAGAGAGAAATGGGGAGCCAAATGTTGGATTTCAGTGGGGGAGAGTCTCTACCGAGAGGGGGAGGGAGAGAGAGAGAGAGAGAGAGAGAGAGAGAGAGAGAGAGAGACGAGGCAGGCGAAAACGGGAGAGCGAAGCGACTGCGGGAGAAAGCGGAAGCCAGATGATTCTCTTGGGTGAGCTGTACTGAGCTGGAGAAGGTGCTGCGCGGGCAAGAGAGGTCAGTAGGTGACTCGAGCGGAAGAGGCGAATGGGAGCTCTAATGCAGAGGAGAGGCGTGCGGGATTCTTTAGGGCAGAGGAAGAGACAGTGGAGGCTAGCCGGGGAGCCGAATTTTTCGGAGTGGGAGCCAGCGGGGGGTCATCGAATGAGGAATTCTGTCGTGGAGGATATGAAGCTGAAGATTTGAGGGAGCCGTTACTTTGGAGCGTTGGCGGGGAAAATTATAAATTTCCTTGCATAGAGGAGACTTATATGGAAAAGAATTAATCATTAATTATATCTAATTATTGTGGGATTAAATGATATACTTGAAATTTGAAATTTGTGAGCTGGTGATTAACCTGAATTGAGCTCGAGTTGGACCTGTATTGAGTCCGGGCCCGCGCCCCGCTAAAAAAATGTGCGTCGATTTCCATGTCATTTGTGTGCGCGCGTAATCCTAGCAATATGGGTATCCTTCCTAGCTTAAGTTGACGTTCCAAACACGCCAGTGCGGTCCGTTTCGTTATCTGGGGTCTTCTGGACAAGCTCGTCGATTGTCGAACCAAAAAAATGTGTCAACTTCGTGTGTGGTGTAGCGAGTGCGTGAAGTGCGATGTTTGCGAGTGTTCGAGTTATGGAGGGTTCACCTAAGGCCGTCTGATCCTGTAGGAACTCATTTTTGTGTCCTCTACATGTTGGTCCTTAGCCCTTGTAACTAAAAGTTGAGTGCTTGGAACCACTAATGCGAGTTCTTCATAAAAATGAGTCAAGAAGTGATTTGAAGTTCTACGGGAGGTGGGCTCCATTGCTAGTCCGCTAGGATGGTCAATAAGAACTTCTAAGGCTAGATTTTGGGTTCTGGGAGTAAAAAACTAAGTCCTCACTAAAAATGATGTCAACAGTCCCTAGCACTTTTGCGTATGTTGGTGGCTTTTTGGTTTTATATCATTTTGTATCTTTGCTTTATTTGGATTTGTGTGTGTTGTATTGTGTGAATTTGACTTTCTTTTAAACCCCCTCATACAACCTATCTTTTCCTCTTTAATATATTAGCCCTTGGGCTTTTTCTAATCTATATATATATATATATTGCATATTACAAAATGTTGAGAAATTGAACCACCAATCATATCTCATGTTTCTAGATGCTCAGAATTTTGTCTCCTATTTATTAAATCAAATATTGATTTTTGTTACATTTTTTCTTCTCAGGGTGGGAGCTTACATGGTGAATTTGTTGATGCAACTCCCTTTTCTAGTTCAATTCGGGAAAAGAATTCAGAGAACTCATCCGAAAAAAGCTCCTTGATTGATGAAATAGGTCCCATGTTAGTCTCTCACGGATTTAACTCCCATGGAGTAGAGGTTCTATACAGCGGCATTCTTGGTACCGAAATGCAGTGTGAAATTTTTATGGGGCCCGTTTATTACCAAAGACTTCGACATATGGTTTCTGATAAGTTTCAGGTCAGTTTTTCCTTTTATCTGTTATTGGTATAAAAATTTTTAAAATAATTATTATGGCATTTGAGTTTCTGAGTACTACTTTTCCTGACTAATAATGCCTCGTCAAGCCTTTCATCTGTTTCTTAATGATTTTTTTTGTTCACCTTATATCATTGTTTTAATTCTAGTTTTTGATATTATTGGTACATTACAGGTGTTTTATATATATATATATATACATAAGGATGGACATTTCAAATAATTTCAGCCAAAGCTTGATTGATTTAATCACAAAGTTCATAATTAATAAAATCAAAGTTAAGAGGATTTCCTTGAATGTTTGTCGAATCTAATCCCTAATGCATGTTTGCACTGATTCACATTACACGATGCTTAAATACATATTTATCAAGTGGTACTAGCATCGCAACACAAAGAAATTTATTTTAGGCATGAATGTACATTAAGGATTCTAAATAGCAAGCAGCGGGTTGCAGTATACATAATCAGAATGCGACAGTTACATACATACCACCAAATGCTTATATATTTACATATCTAACCCCTAAAGTTGAGCGGTATGTGTGTAAATACATCGGAATTGATTGGTATGTGTGTAAATCTTCTAAATAAAAAAATTGATATTGCAATTTGCATTCTTATCTGCCATGATGGAATCTTGTGATTTCAAACATTCTTTTGACCCATGCATTTTCATGCTGCAGGTTCGATCTACCGGAACTGTGGATCAAATTACCAGACAACCAATTGGAGGGAGGAAGCGTGGAGGTGGAATTCGTTTCGGAGAGATGGAGCGCGATTCCGTTCTCGCTCATGGAGCTGCTTATCTTCTGCATGATCGCCTCCATTCATGCTCTGATTATCACCTAGCAGATGTCTGCTCCAATTGTGGGAGCCTCATCTCTGCAACTTTGGTTGAGCCGCGGAAGAGGATGTTGAAGGACATCAAAGGTAATCTTCCTCCATTGAGATCGGTGACCAAGGTAATATGTCGTTCCTGTAAATCAAGCAAGGGAATGGAGACTGTTGCAATGCCTTATGTTTTTAGATATCTGGCTGCTGAATTGGCTGCAATGAATGTAAAATTGGACTTGCGTTTGAGTAACAAAATCAGAACTTGAATCTGTGTTTTATCATCATTAATTGGCTGCAAATGTAATCTTTTTGTTGTTGTAATTTATACTTTTGTTGTTTTAAAATATTTATTGTTGTAATATTTGAACTAATAATAAATAGTCTAATTTATCTTGCAAATTAGTGAACTGTATATACATATAATGTTTATTGGATGTTTTCCCTATCATTCATGCTTCATGATTATCTGCTAAATATGGTTTGAATGCTTGGAACTGCTCTTTGCTTATCAAATGTTTTTATAGTAAAGAGAGGCTTTCAGCGCATTTGCGGCTTTACTGGTTGCATTGCTGTTTGCATTCAGGTAGGGATGATATTTGAACTGATTGTAGTTTGTATGAAAAAGCTTGATGCTTTTAAATTTCTTCATTAATTTTTGCATTATTTTATTTAAAGTAAAATAAAAAATTTATATATTGTTTTAACCTGTTGTGATTTACCCGAAATTAATTTTATGTTTGCTTATGATGTGTGGGGATAAATTTTTGAAATCATTTTACTAGCTTCTCAACTTATGGAATGGGTGAGTTATTGATTATGCCACTAACTCCCATAGAACTGCTATATATATATAATGAAAAAACTCTGAATGTGTCTAAATATATTGCTTTGAAGCTAAGGTTTTTAGTATGTTTAGCTTTATTTATGGAAAAGTTAACCTTAATTAACATTGCTAATATGGTTCATTTTCTTATTGTCCGGGTGGTTACCATTTATGCATCATAATTGGGTGTTAAAGTTATCCCTTACAAAAAATGATTTAAATTTCTTGAAGAGGTGCAAGCTTACATTTTGTTTCTTGCCATTTCTTATTTCTACCAGGGATTAAGGCATGGCAAGTCTATTCATGTACACCACATGATTTCTTGTTGTCTAAAATATTGTTTGATGACTACTATTTTCAACATTCATCTTGTTGTTGGTATGGTCATTATTATTCATTACATTTATAACAATCTACCTACACATATGACTTTTAATATCCAATATTAAGCAAAATAATTACTTTATAACATTGATTAGAGAAACTTTTAATATATCTTGAACTAATTGTTGAAATATACTTTTATTGTATTTATTTTTAATGATTAATGTGGTGTACATTTTGTATGATATGTATAACTTGGTGCTTTGGAATTTGTCACAATTATGATGATTGCATGATTTATATTTCTTATGCTTTTTGATATGATGATGTAATAACTTGGAGAATTTCTTATGAAGAGCATAAATAAAACATTATAGGATAATCACCTCTTTCTTTATCAAAACAACCATAGCAAGCACTTAACAAAAGAAGAGAGAAAATACTAGACACTAAGATAAGTTTGAAAATAATAGCTTTCAATTTATAGTACAAAATATGATCCATACATTAAAATTTTTTTGCTAATTGTATGTTGTTCAATATGATGAATATGAAAACCTGTAAGAATATCAAAAGATATGTGATTTTAAGAAAAGTCCAATTTATGAGATTCACATAATACCTAAAATTAAATATTTAATCTTTCATTTTTAAGCTCCTCACATCACAGAGTTTTCATAGAGAAGCTATTTTTTGTCTACTTTTAATTATCACGAAGTAATTGCATCGAAATCACTATTTGTATGTTGTTCAATATGATGAATATGAAAACCTGTAAGAATATCAAAAGATATGTGATTTTAAGAAAAGTCCAATTTATGAGATTCACATAATACCTAAAATTAAATATTTAATCTTTCATTTTTAAGCTCCTCACATCACAGAGTTTTCATAGAGAAGCTATTTTTTGTCTACTTTTAATTATCACGAAGTAATTGCATCGAAATCACTCAAAACTTTCAAGGAGTTTCCATCTCAAAGTCAGTCTAGATCTTCAAGAACATGCTAGCACATCAAAGCCCATCACTAGTGACTGATTTATTCAAATATCCATTTGCAATAAAGACACCAACCCAAGTAAGAGTGCATGAGTTTTATGCAAGGTGGTAGTTATTTTTCTATACATTTATGCTTTTATTCTCCCTTAGCCATAATAAAAATAATAAATGCATAAAATGAGATAGAAATAATAGGAAAATTTCAAAAAGAAAATCAATCTATTTTGTATTATTTTTGTGAAAATGATGCATTAATTTCTTTTTCATACCTTTGGTGGTTGGCTTGCTTGCCAAAGAGCTAATGACGATGCATCAACACCTTTGAAGTAAAAAGTAATTTTCGAAAAAGATTTGCTATCAAAATAGTTATCCACAATCCTCTCAAGTTAAGCATGTGTGTTCCAAAGACAGCTAATCTTTCCTTCTGATAAATATTTTTTGCTAAGGAGCGGCATTTCATTCAATTGGACATGATTTGTCTCAATGAATATAGGTGAAGCAAGTACCTAAACATGGGTATAGTGCTTACCAATAATATTATTAAGCTAAAATAAGTTTAAAAGTGCTTAGAGAAGGTTGTTATTAGGAAAATTCTTAGGTTATGTGTTGTTCCTATACTTCTTACTTCCGAAGAAGGATGGCAATTTGGATAGCATGCATCGATAGTCTCAAACATAAAAAAATAACAATTAAAGGTAGATTTCTCATTTTAAAATTAGATATTCATTGATGTAAGTAAATGGAGCAAAAAATTTCTAAAACATATCTAAAAGTTAGGTATTATCATATTAGAATAAGGTTGGGTAATGAGTGGAAAAAAACTTTTAGAACTATGGATAGCCTTTGATTAGTTTGTTATGCATTTTGGAGTATCATATGTAAAAGTACATTGAAGTGAATCATAAGTCAAATCTTGTGACTATTGCTATGACAATTTATAGCTATGTAGTTTGATGGTACCCTTATATTTAGTAAAACACTAGAGGATTAACATGAACAACTTAAATAGGTATATTTTGTAATTGGATGACACTTTTTATTTGGTAATCTTAAGAAGTGCCCCCTATATGACTTTTTAGGGATTTATAATCTCTATAAATGGAGCACCAATTGATTCTAGTCCAAACAACTTTGAAAAGGTTCTCTAAACTTTATTTCTTATAATTAATTTTAGCATATATATTTTCATTCTGTAAATTAATTAATATTTTCAATATGCTTAATATATAGTTTATAAAAATTATAAAATAATAAAATCCCTTGAATTAACCTTTCAATTTTGATTTTCAAGGTTGGATAAATTAAAAGTTATGTTACTAGATTCCTTAACTTTTAAATTTCACTGATTGAGTATTCTTAAGGTTTTGCTTAAGGAAATGAAACCCATAAATATTGCAGCATCTTCTTTTTTGTCCAACTTACCTAGATCAATTTTTTTCATTATTCAAAATAAGACATTTACTATCAAACAAATGTATGCAAGATAAATTTGAATATATTTATTTTAAGTAATATATATGCATCTTTCTTAATTATATGATGAATATGCACATAGTTAATTATATAGCTAGTGATATGTATAGCCTTGATCCAAAATAATAAAATTAATATAAGTTCATTTAGCATTAATTAAGCTAAATCCACAAATATTTAGTTTTTTCTCTCCATTTTGTTTTTTTTTACTTTGGTGTCTTAGGACATGGGAACTTATATTAATTTTCTATGACATTAGAAAGTTCCAATTTTTTGTATTTGAACAATCTATGATGGTCATTATGAACTAGGAAAATCAAATGTCCTAAGCTCTTCTAAATCCATAAAGCAAAAAATTTTAATTTGTTAAAATATTTATGTTTATGCATGATAGATCATCTCCAAATGATTCTAGTAAACTCATCTATAATTAAGAACGCAACATACTTACTACCATCTAAATTTATTGTCTTGATGGAATATATATATATATATTAATAATCATAATAAACCAAAAGGGTCAACACATCAAAATTACCCAAGAATACAAATTTTACTGAAATTAATCTATGATTGATGAATTAGAGTTTATGTGAGAGAACCACATTTGTTTTTTCTTATTGTGAGAATTTTCAAAATAACATTTTGAAAGAAACTCAGCAAAAATATAATTTCCATATGCAAAATGATTATGATTATTAGTCCAATCCAAATCAAGCCAAGCCTCAATCAAGCCATTAAATTACTTTTGAAGCTTTCCAGGCATTTTTAGAGATGCTAAATCTAACAATTTTATTGTTGAATTGAGCATCTAGATAAGACGAATCCAACAAGTCCATGATCGCCCAGTTCCAACATCATTAAGACACTCAAATGCTTATCAAACGCCCTCTGATGAAGGGAATCTCTCAGGGTTGTACAATCAAAGTTGTTCACATTCCTTCGTTAATTGCAATTGGGACTCTATAAATAGAGCTTACCCATCCCTCAAAGGAGAGTGGAAGAGAGAGTTTGATGCTTGAAGAAGGTTGAAACTTAGAAGAGCTGAAGTTTCCTCCTACTTCTGCAGTTGTCAACCACCACCGACCACAGCCGACTGTCGCTTGTCGACTACCGCTCACTTCTTGCGAAGAAGCACCATGTGAAGTAACAAATGACATTGCAGAGTTAAGAAGTAATATATAAAGCGGTGCATCGGGCTGACCCCAAAGATAATGCAACAATGCACCCTGAAGATGGTGCAATAATTTACCCCAAAGAAGGAGCAACAGTGCATCACAAAGTTGGGGTAATGACACACCTCAAATATGCTTATGCAGCTCCTGATTTTGGCCCTTGCGACTTATGTATATTTTTACTACTCACCACAATGACCTGCGTGACCAACTATGACCTAAGTGGTCCACAACTAGTGCGGGTCCTGACTTTGGCCTCTGTTGCTTACAAACATCAATACTACTCATCAGTATGGACTACCTGACTTTGGCCTCTGTTCGTAACTCTAGCTCCTATAGCCCACGGTAGTCATCGTGACTCACCATAATAGCCTATACTTTCTATTTGGTCCACAACTCTCACAGCTTCCTGCTATGATGTTTATGGCCAACTGACACTTAAAGAAACTAACTACTACCCACCTGACCAACCAAATTATGAAAATAAAACTTTCTAATTCCAACTCTAATTCAAAAGAAGAGTAGACCTGTGCTCTCACCAACCATGGTGAATTATTTCAACTAGGTCAGACCCCGAGTTTTCAACATAAAAAATTGAGGTGACT